TWAAMMAWYGWTWSAAMTAAATCACAAGCCTTGATTTACATTACGAAACTACTTCTAGAGATGACCCCTTCGAACGAGTTACGAGCACGAAGTTACCCTTTAAAAAAAACATCGATCCGGAAAAAAAGCCTCTTTAAATTCTGAAATCGTGTTATACGTACGCGTTTAAGAAAGTTGGAATAAAAAAAAAAGGAGGGTAAGGCCATCCTTATGGGTAGGTCCACAATTTTCTTCTTATTTTCTACGTGGCCAATCCCTAAAAGACGAAACGTATGAGAGAAGATTACAAATATGTATATTCAGGAAAAAGAAGGGATAGAAAAAGTGAGTGAGAGAGAAGGAAATAGAAAAGACTAGTTTAAGTCTATGAAAACGTGAGAACGAAATGGATCATTTATCATTCCTGACCATGACCCTTAACTCAGACCCAGTTAACAAATGATCCTAAAGAGCAAAGACTATACTTAGTTTTGCGCAAGACCCTCGACGAGTGCTTGTACTTTTCTTCTTCGTTGAGTAATTACTTACGATCAAAGAAGAAGAAGAAGAAGAAGAAGAAGTTAAAAGAAAAGAAGAAAGAGGGAGAGAGAGGAAAAGAACAAGAGAGATAGAAAAGGAAAAAAAATAAAGGGTACGTTATCCCTCAGAGTTTGTACTTTCATTTGCGGAACAAATCCGCCGATAAAAAGTTTTTCCTTAACGACGCTCGCAAAATGAAAAGCTATTATCACGTTCAACCAATGGCGATTGTAAGCTCGTTGTGTTTCGTTTGTTAAAGACCAACTAGATATAATTAATTAATTTCATTTTTACGTTAAATCGGTTTTATTTCTTTCGATCAGTATCAATGTTATTTTTGAAAGTATATATATATGTATGCCAGATAATTCATAAATTTACGTCAATACTTTAGAGAATAAATCAAAGCATTAATATAAACTAAAAAGAAATGTCATTGAAAAATATGACGCGTATATATATACCAATCGATCAAAATTTTAACATTCAGAATTGTAACTAAAAATGAATCCAGTTTGCTACGATCGAATATATATATATATTTTATAATTCAATATAAAGGAAAAAAAGAAAATGTATAAAAAACGTTTCACAGTATCATTCGATTTTTCTCGAACGTTTCAACACCTGGCAGGATTCTTGCATAGGACAAATGACAAAATCAATAAACCGACTTTAGATGGGTCAACATTCACAGCTAGCTTTCGTCCGACGGCGGATCTCGAACTTTCAGTTACCAAAGCGTCCGCAAATATTTCCACGGACGAAGCAATCCCCTTCGGTTAACTGTAATTCTATTTACTCTTTCCATTACAGTTCCCTCAGATACTGTTAGCTGCCATTTTTATTTCGTATTCCTGTTAATTTCGATAGAAAACTTTTTCAAAATTTCAAGCGGGTCCAATCGTATTTACAAATTTAAAATATTATCAGAGGTTTAAAATTTTTCACCACTTTTCTCATCGTCTTATTTTATCTGCTCATTTTCATTTATCTTTTCAATATTTATCTTTCTTTCTCTGTTGATCTCTTTTTTTTTTATCTTTTTTTTTCTTTTTTTTTCTTACAAAGAAGCAGAGCAAGAAAATCTTGCAGAGAAAATTAATCCACGCATGAGACACGTCATCATCTTTGACACGTAAGAAGTCCTCTCCCTCTCAAAAAAGCTACTTTAATTATCACTAACATCCAACTCGAGATCTGAGCTCTTCTCATTCGTCAACGCCTTCGAAAAATGATTTAGCAATCGTAACACTTCGAGTATACTCTTACAAACTTACTAACTTCATCTAAATCGTTTTATTTACATTTATGTATATATTTATTGATTAAATCGATGATACATTTATCTTTTTTTACTGACTTGAACGTTTATTCAATTAAAACTGATTTTCTTTACTTTACAAATAATTTTCATTATACATAAATGTATATATGTATGTATGCACTTACATATGTATGAGAAAACAAGAAAAAGACTGAAAATACTTTGAATTATTTAAATCACATACTCGCTTTTCTCTATTTCTCTCGTGCTTTCTATCTATCCTTCTATTCATTAAATTTTTCATTCAATTTGAAAATTTTTCTCTTCAAATTTCAGACAACTTGAATAACATTTAAAACATCTTATCCCTTGAACGACATTCACGACATTTACGTATCTAACCAAATAACTATTTCAGTTTTATCTCTTCTTCCTTTTCTTTTTTCATTTCTTTTCTATTTACTTCATTTATATCTTTTTATTACTAACATCTTCCATTTCTGCGACGACTTTTATCCTAGTCATTCAAAATTATAATATTTCAAATTTACTATAACTATGTCACTAACTACTTTACTAATTTCATTGTAAATGTTCTTTAGTTTATCAATTTAAATAGAATCATAATTTGGCAATTTTATTAATTATATAACATAAGAGTTGTTCTATTGGTTGATAATTTTTTACAAAATAAAGTTTATCAAATTATTATATAAATCTATGTTATATTTAATTATAATTTTTTTTATTTAGATAACGTTATACAATTAATTTCTAATCACTTGAAAAATAATACAGAATGATTCTTTTAAATGTAATAAATTACAGTTATGAATAAATTGATCTCACTTGAGTAAACTGCAAAGCTTACAAATTATGATTCGTTACTTATTTTACAATACACGTGAACTTCAAGTTTTATTAAAGTGTGAAGCTTCACCAGGCAAAAAACCGGTTGCGTGAGCGCACATAGAAAGCATCGTATTTCATATCCCATCTCTCTCTCTCACTCTCTTTCTCTCTCTCTCTCTATTCTACACTGTCGTACACATCGAAAGTCTCTTTTTCCTTCTGCATGCACCACAAATTGCAATATTCAAGCTTTCTACCAAGCCGAGCTACTTCGCTTGTTGCATAACAGCTTCCATGTACTTTCAACCTTATCTACTCCCCCTCTTCTCATCTCATCTCCCTTTTCACCTATCTAAAGCCATCTTTTACGAACGGATAAAAGCTCGTAATCATACTGCCATGTTATTCGATCTCCGAAGCATACGAAGTTTAGAATTAATAATACACATGGTCATTTAATTTCATTCAAATTACTAAACAATTTCACATAAATTTTCATTTTTCATAATATTTTGTTTTTCATATTATCTTATCTCTGTAGAGCAAAGTTATGCAGAAAACTAACAACCTTCAATGATCAAATGTAAAATTAAATTTAATTTGACGATTATAATTAAAAAAAAAGAAATTAAATATAATTCTATTAGATATTTGATCATTATTATTTTAAATTTTTTTTATAAATCTTGACACAAGTGCGGCTTGATAATTTTACTATTCGTTCAATGTAAAAATATGTTTTTACCAATTAATAATTTTTTTACAAGATAAACAGTACCACAAATTATACAATTTATAATATATTTAATTAATTTTATATTTGCATAACGTAACCCACAATTAATTTCTAATATTTCTAACAACGAATTAATATCTTAAATGAAAAAAAATATATATATTAAATAAGTATAAATTTGAAGAATGAAAAATATTTGTTAAAAATTTAGATTGTTTTTGATTATGGCTTAGAAAACAAGCTAAGGTGATCGTTAACAAGTT